CCAAGGGGCCAGTGATAAATGTTTGCTGCCAGATGTCGATCCAAGCAATCCATAGCTCTCAGGTCTTTCCCGCGCGCGTTTTCCGGAGAAAGGCCACTCAGTAAATAGTTAGATGAGTCCGATGTCTTGCTACAAATCCCAGACCTTTGCGGAGCCACTAGTAGCGTCCCTGCTCCTAGTAGCGATGCCCTTTGTTATTGGTAGCCTCTTGTTCCTAGTAGTAAGGCCAGGAGCTACTAGTAGCGTCACTGTTGTGCAGTACTTGTGCAGTCTGCTTTCCTTGACTCTCTGACTGTCATAGCACTTTGCAGCCACCCGCAAGCAACCCTGGGCTTTTGGCCAGGACGCGAGCGTGGAAAAGGCTGCTGTGTGGGTGAGCTGAGGGCCTGAAACTGCAAGGTGCCGAAATGTTGCCAGCTTGCCAGGTATCTGGAGTCATGCAGCCACTGCTCTTGAACAAAAGTAACAAAAGAACTGGTTCAACTCTGAATTTGACTCACTCCTTTCACTGAATCAATGTCCACCTAGTCAGCAGTACGCTCAATTGTTCAACATGCACAAGGTGCAAGCGTGGGTGCGCACCCAGTGCCAAGTTCTTTGGCTACATTTGCACCTCAGTCCAGGCAAGGGGTAAAAGAAACCCAGCAAGCAAAAGAAGGATTAGTAAAGTAATAGTTATGCAAGTTGACCGGGCACACTTGTTTGTTGGACCAGCACTCCACACTTTCAAATATTCCCACCTGTGCAGTCAAATGCACCACCTGTCACCGCACCTAGTCCACACTCGGGCGTGAAGGCACCATACCTGGCGAATGGTTCTCCACAACGTTCATGGCCTCCAACCTAATAGCGGTTGCCTCCAACCTAGTAGCAATGGCAATGGCCTCCAACCTCTAACCTAATAGCGATGGCCTCCAACTAATAGCATTCATGGATACGCTATGGCGCAAGTCATTCTCAGGGTCTCATGATGATCTGATGGAGTCTTCACTCAGCTTCCCACGGGGCTTGCTTTGAAGGACCCACAGGTGAAGCAAGACGGCGAGCTTTGTTGAGCAAAGTCGCTGCCTCCAAGAGCTTTAAAGGAAACATGTATATAACGATATTATACAATAAATCAGACTAGCATGAATTATGAGGAAATACACGTGCAAGCAAGTCAAAAAGAGTTATGAAACCAACCCCGAAAGGAAACACACGCACAAATAAATAAATAAATAAGTGTGTATATATATATATATTGGTGTCCAACGGGTGTCCAGTGTCCAGCAACTGCACCAATAATTCCACAAAATACACGTGATTCCTAGCTGCTAGTTTCCACGCCTTAAGAATTAGAAGGCACAGTGGCGCCTGCAGCTGCTGGTGTGCAACATTCGCAGCCACCGCCAGCGATACAGCACCTGTATTCGCAGGTGACTCTCGAAACCCGCAGGCAAAGGGACCAGCTTTTTGGTCATTCTTTTTTGCAAGCGTTTCGGGTGCATTACTTTTGAGTCATCAAGCTTCTTGGCCAGCAAGGGTGATCTCATTTGCCGATGTTCTGTCTATATAGTTCTGTAGCATTATTATCCAAGTCCAGCAGTCCAGCATTTTACCAAAACAAGTGCTTTATGGTCCATGACAATAACAACGGAATCCAATCTACGGAGCTATGATTGAAATCCCCCAAGCAATGTTGAATCATATCGTCTTACAATCCTCTGAGTCCAATTCAATGTCTTACCGTCCCCACCTGAACTCTGCGGAACGATCCCCTGGCGGAGATCAAAAGGGGAAATCGGTGGCATGGTGGAGATGCCCCACTTGAATGACCGTGTATGGCTGGGTGATCCAGCCATGGCACTGGGCTTTGTGAGATCGGCGCAATTGTCTTGAAGCTATATGTCGGGGGGAAGATTACAGTGCCAGATACATTGGTGTTCACCCATGGACATAGCTAGATTTGACACACAAACACACATAGAAAGTCTGTAGAATAGTAGCACCTGCTCTTTGTGGAGTCGGCACGACGTGATCTCCACAACGCAAGATCTACATTTTGTGGCAGCAAATTGACAATCGAGATGAGACCAGCTACCGAAGCGGGCACTTAGTGGGACACAGGCTGAAACCAGTTCCACGATTATGTATGTATATATAGGAAACATATGGCTGTGGGTCAAAACCGGGGGACCCTGGTTGACCAGCGAACATGAACAGAATAGACCACCAGGGATTGGGGCTCCAGGTCTTGACTCACTATACACGTATTAAATATTTTTAGTTATATATATATATATAAATATAAAGTAGTAACAGTTGACGGCCCATAAAAATCACACCAGCCAAACAGCAGCGGCAGTCGGAATTTTCTTCTGAAACTCGCACTTCCACACAGGCAGCCATTGAGATGATTTTTTTTGCAGTTTCTGGGCTGAGATGATTTTGCTTTGTCTCCCTTTGTCTCCCCTTGCCTCCCATGGCACGTCTGGATGCTGGGCTCAGATGATTTGCTTTGTCTCCCTTCGTCTCCCCTTGTCTCCCATGGCGTGTCTTGATGCTGGGCTGCGATCACTTTGCTTTGTCTCCCTTCGTCTCCCCTT